TTACAGGCCTCTCTCATCTTTTTAAGTGGGGGAACTTGCACAATTGGTGGCTGACTAAATACGTTTTTCCCCACTGTATTTGCTAAGAAAAAAGCCCCACTGAATTCAATATGACTTACAGCTAAACACAACTAGGACAAAGGCATAAGTATAACGGTGTTCCTTCGTAGTCTTCCTACTGGTTTTTTACTGTCGGTTCTTACATAATTGTAGGACTTAATACAAATTCAACAGTAAGGATATAGATAACTATTAAATCTCAAAAAGTCATCTAAAAGACAATGCTGGGTTTCATAGACTTGATCCTTGAATTCAGAGAATAGATGGAAATAATGAGAAGCATGAATGAATAAATTCTTTATTACAGCTATCGGCCAATAACATGAAATATTCTATAAGGCTTAAAATGCCCAGACAATAAGCAATACATAACAGAACGTAAGCATAAGAACGTAAGCAATGCTCTGCTAGAGTGGACTCCTGGCCCATCTAGCCCAGCAGTCTGTTCTCACAGTGGTCAACCAACTGCACAAGGAAGCCCACTAATCTCTCAGCAACAGGTAACAGCATAAAATCAGTAGGAGGCTGTTGTCTACAGCCATTGAGAGAACTAGACCGCCTATTTTGCTGGCAATCTCATCTCATTTGCCCCACCCTACAGGCAGCTGCACAACATCTTGCCACCTTAAAGGTTGCAGCAGATTGTCTGGGAGCAAGAATCCATCCGGGGGCCAGGAAAGCTTGTCGATAGGAGCATAATACATTTATTATTTAGATCTATATAATATTCAAGGTATAATAGGGCATGCCCCACTGTTTAGACACTGTGAGCCACCAGAGCAAGCACACTCCTTTTAGAACAGATAAAAGAACCTTAAAATGGGCCTAAGAGAAGACCTCTAAAATATCTAGGCGCTTCCAAAGTGGAGAGTTATTTGGTTGGCTATCAACTCCACTTCAGACTCACATTTTAAGGCCAAATCATTTTGGAACTAACTTCAATTCAATATTTTTTATTATTATTAGACTGATATCCCACCTTTATTTGTACAACTCAAGGTGGTGTATATAATGCTCCTCTGTCCTATTGTCTCCACAGCAACAGTCCTATGAGATGGGCTGGGCTGAGAGAGAATGACAGGCCCAAAGTCACCTAGCCTAAGGGAGGGCTAGAACTCATAGTCTTCTGGTTTCCAGTCCAGCACCTTAATCACTACATCAAATTGGGTCTCAAATTTTGCCATTCCAAGTCCAGGATTTCTTGTTGTAAGAAGTGATAAACACGAAAAGCACATAGTCTGAATAGTTAAAATGTAAAACACTTACCAAAACCTGCAATATCCAGAACACCAATGAAAAAAGATGATGTCTCAAATGGGAAACATTGATTTACCCTGTTTACCACATGGTCAAAGAGGTGACTATAGACAGTTTTTGCCAAAGCATCACGTGCATTATTTGCCTGTTCTACTTTTAATGGAACCCTGCGGGAAAAAAGTATTATCATTACAATCAGTTTGCTCCATATTTATGGGAAAGCATTCTCAAGGGAGATTACAATAATATGGTCAAAAATTAAATAAACTAAATATTTAATAGAAACAGCATTAAATATAACCATATGGGATTCCAACAATAAAAGCCTTGGCAGATGAAAAAATCTCTTTGTTATTCAGTCGTTAAGTCGTGTCTGACTCTTTGTGACCCCATGAACCATATCGTGCCAGGCCTTCCTGTCCTTCACTGCCTCAGAAGAAGAAAAAGAGTGAAATTCTAAGAATTCCATAAAGAAACTGATGAAAGAGTCTTGTCTCTGTTAGGCACCAACCTAAGATACCTTAGCAATGTGCCAGAGAGCAGCAGAATCATACTGCTAGTCAACCAAGTTCCTGATGAAGTCATACAATAAGGAAATAGACTTAAGGATACCAAGTTCTTCACCAGTAGTGTAAACATCATCATATAACTGGAAGCATGCTAGATATGCAGAGTAACATATTAAAGGTGTGCAAATCAGATCAATCTGAATGTCCCAGTCAATCTGCAAAATCAGTCTGATTCATTCTGGACATTTCAATCAGTTCAGGCCAAATATCATATGATGCAATTTAATGCATTTGTCAGGTTCAGCCCAAAGAACTCCAAGAGACAATGCAAATACAGTTCTGTTGCGTTTATTAGCTTCTCCCAAAAGACAGAATCTCACCAGACTGAACCCAAGTTCCCAAGCCAGACAGCCACAACACTGTGAATTCCTTAGGGAGATGCCAGCCTCATCTTCTTGAACTTCCCACGCTCCTGTTGGGGGCTAAGAACACGCTTATCTCCCTGAACATGGCCTTCATAAGTCCATTCCATCACAGCATTCCCTCAAAACACATGCCAGAGAGCATCACAATTGGCCCAGCTAGATTCAGAGAGCTGAAGACAGACCTCCATACAAGTTAGAGATCTGCTGATTTTATGGCCAGGCTGGTCTTATGCAAAGCAACAGTGCCACACTGGCCATATATATGCAGCAGCTGCAGAAGAACAGTGGAAAAGTGTGACTATCATCATGAGAACTGGGCCACTAGTTTACATAAATGGTGCTTTTTCATATATCCAGCCTCTGGGTATTGTGTATACGTGTGTGTGTATATATAGAGAGAGAGAGGGAGGGAGGGAGAGAAAGGAATATATACAACCTATCAGGGCCACCTCACAGAGGGAAGATTCATTAGAATTTTTTCTTCCAGTCTCTCTTTTTTTAAAGTCACTTATTTTCTTTCTAGTTTCCCTGGAAATGTGGAAAAGCTATATCAAATAATGGCATATTCTTCTTCGTTATGAAAAGCTAGGAATAGCAGGAAGTGATGTGTTAGTCACTTATATATCTCCTAGCATTGTTTTGGGGTAATAGTAATACAGTTTTTCTTCTGCAATGCTGATTTTGCTAATTTTTCTGCAATATTGAAATATTATTTCAGTGCCGATGGCTAAATTGACTTCTTTGATCAGAGAAAAGACAATATCTACATTTATTGCTGACTGGAAACCCCTTATAAACTTTTTGCATGAAACAGAAAAAAATGAACTTATGATTTATGGTTTTGATAATTAAACAGAATAGAG